GGACTGCATAAAGTTAACTATTGTATAGTGCGACACTATACTGCTGCAACTACTGTAATTTTACTGTTTGTGCCTGGCTAAAATCTTGGGTGTGAGTGGAGGCATGTGAACTTGTTTACTGTCTAATTTCTCAGTGTGCATTTGTTTGAAGAGGATGAAAAATAGCTTGTGTTTGGGTTTGTTTTTTTTTTTTTTTTCTATTTGCTGATCTGGATTGTAGATTATCTTTTGAAGGTAGCTCTAATGTGTCTCAGTGTTCTGATTTGTGCATTTCAGTTGAAGATTTTAGGTTTATGATACTGTATAATGTTATGAGCTAAAAAGAGTTTGAATTGGGCTAAGACACTTGGATGCCAGAGGACGGTGTGGAATGGCATGGTGATGTATTTGACTCTTCTAATCAAGCCACAAGAAAATTTACTTTAGCTGGTTATAGATGGATGCTGTAGTTGCTAGTATAAGTGTATAGGTTTTGGAAAGGAGTGAGTTTCAGCTTGTTCTTGAAACACAGCAGGGGAGAAGGGAAAGAAATCAGTCGCTTTTATAGAGCAGTCTGATCCTTAGCTAACTCAGAATTGCAGCTTTTTTTAATTTCACAGAGTTGAAGTGGTGTTAATGGAGACATTAATTAAATGTGATAATTACTAGAGGAAGTTGACTGTGTTGCAAAATGCCATATTCTTATTTCACCCTATGTTATGTCTGTTTTCCAAGTCCACTGTAGTGTTGAAGCCTTGTTGCAGTTCAGACTGTCTGGGATTCAGCAGTTTGGATCTGGAAACTACTTACAAAAACATTGTTCAAGTGAGTCTTGGTGTGGCAGAATCTCAGATCTGTAGTAGGCATTAAGTCACAGACTGGTTTTTGAATTAGTTCCCAGAACCATGCTTTTTGTGCTTTCTGCTGATTTTCATGGATTAGTGAGGAAGATGTGATTTTTGTTTGGAAGACTTGAAGATAGTTACGATAATTTAACCTTGACTCTGACCTGTCCTGTGACCCGTTCTTCATTAGAGATAGTGTTAGTGAAGGCCCGCTCATACGGTTGCACCACTACAGTTTTATGTAACTGTAGTGCTGATGCCCTTCTTGGCCATCTTCCAGTTAGGAATAGCTCTTTCCAGATTTAACTGCTTCCAAAATAATGATTAAGCTGAGGAGAGTCACAGTGACAGTGCAGTAAACATTTCCATGGAGAGTTCTGTAACTGAATTGGAGGATTTATAACACAGTATGAATTTCCCTATGGTGCATCAAAGATGTATATTTGCAATTGCTAAATCTTAAGATACACTAATTAGCATTTAAAACCCAAGTCTTTTTATCCCTCTTTCTTGAAGAAAGTGGGACTAGTAAAGAAGGTCTGACTGTACGAGGAAAGGGTGAGAAGTGCTATAAGGGAACGCGTTGAGGTACAGGAGCGTGTGGTCTACCTTATCAGGCCTGTTACTGGGATATGGACTAATCTTAGTGATCCTGTTCGCATGAGCTACTTTGCCAGGCATGCAGCTGGGAGACACAGAGCTGATCGCAAGTCACAGCCACCTTAAAATGGCTCAGGGTTAGGCTTTGCTAATGGTGAAAGCTAGCATACAAGTAAGGGGAACCCCCCTTCTTTTTAGAGGTAGACCTCCACTTGCGGATTGCTCTCTGCATACGATTTTAAGTTGGTGGCCTTTTAAAGATCTTCAGCAACTTTCCCTGGCAACCTGAGCTGGCTGGCAATGCTTGCTTGGCTGTGTTGTCAGAGTTCCTAGGTGACTGCTATGCAGGTATGTACCTTTTTATCCTGAGGCAGCAAGGTTTTAGTATGTGGTTAATTTGGTGATACGGTTTTGGTGTTTGCATGTGATCTTTAAGCCCCTAACTTGTATGAAGTGCCTAAAACTCTTGTTCTCCAGAGCATCATTTGCTTTGGTCTTGGAAGCTTCCCAACAGCAAATGTCAGTTTGGCAGCCCTTTCGTGTGCTCATTGCCTTGAAGTTCAGTTATGGATCCAAATGTAAAGCGGTATTATGCATAAAATAAAACGTGGGTATGGGGGTGAACCTGCACCTGTAGTTACACTGTGTAATTGCCCTAGTCACCATCGGGTATGTATTTATGGTTGGCCCTTGTAAAAGCCCATCTAGCTTGTCCTGGCAACCCGAGGCAATCGGTATTGCTGGAGCAGCCATGATCAGTTTTTACGCAGCTGAGGCCAGCTGAGGTGGGTCAGGATCCCTGATTCAGGGCAAGCCCGTGGGCGTGCAGCCTGGGAGTTCTGCTAGGAGGACTGCAGCTCAGCATGGAGAGGCCCAGGGGCTCCTTAGGAAGAAACTGCTGCAGAGTAGGCGTTTCTACTATTGGGGCCAGCTGTAGGTGGGTGGGTGTGATGGCTGCAGCCGCTCTGATACGCGCTCTGAGGTGCTTTGTGACTCAGTACTGGGGCTGGGAACCAGGGCGGCTGGGAACAGTGTGAAATGGTGAGGGGATGCTGCTGAGCTGTTAGACCACGTGGGGGCTGAAAGTCTGCTCAGTGAGTCTGAGGGTGAGTGAGTCTTGTTTATGGGTTGGATAGAATTGGCTTTAAAGGATTTTATTGATTTAATATGTACGTTGTTGGCTCTTATTCACGTTTGGAAAATGCATGTTTGATTAGATTGACTGTGGCGGTGTATTTAGACCACTACAGTATTTAAAAATAACCAACTACATCTTGAGTACGCTGACCAAAGTGTAGTGTTACTGCATCCGTGGTACAGGATTACAGCAAATTAACTACATGGGTGTTTTCTGAAGTTTTGAAGTGACTAATATCGAACTGTTCAAACAAGCCATCTGGTAAATTTTCATCTTGTTTTTTTCCTTCAAAAAGAGAGATGATTTTACCTCATAGTAGAAAAGAACTAAAATGTCTGCGTTAAGCAACCTACAGAAATACATGAAGAAATTTAATGATTTTATCTCAGTAGAGTTTAGGAAGGATATAGTAAATAAAGACTTAATAGAATGATTAGTACGAAAATATTAAACAGCTATCTCACTCCATAATAAGTGTCTAAAAAAAAAAAATTAAGACACTTGGTGTGACTGATTGAGGAGTACAGTCTTGTAATTATAATATACTTATTGCATATATTTAGGGGAACTAAATGTGTCTGTTTTTATAAATGTATATTAAAGTCTAAATTCTGGAATATTCTAACATGCAAAGTCACATTGTTTACTAGAAGCTCAATTTTTTTGTTGTTATTCACGTGCATCACAAGCATGTGATGAGTATTGCTCTGACAAGCTTAAGTTACCCCCATGGTAAGTCATTCCACCTGGCTCTGAGCATGCAGGATACTTATGGTGTAGGACTAATTGTCTTGCTTTTGGAAGGCTGTATTTGAGGACAAGGCTTTTTCCTTTTTTCTTTTTTCTTTTTTTTTTTTTTTTTTTTTTTCTCCCCCCCAGTGAATGACATATGGTTTTAGCCAAAATAGTGTAGGAAAAGGTTCAGAGCTACTGATAGTTCAGGTTGCAGTAACTCATGCATGTGCAAATCAGCCTTTAACCTTTGTAGGGTACTAAACAGATTAGTCATGGTGTACCTCTTTGCTTTTGTGATGGAGTGTTTTTCTAACCTGCAGGGTTAGAGGCGTGGAGAAAGAAGTTTGAAATAGTAAATTTGTCAACGCTTGTGTAGTCAGAAGCATCAGAACATAGAATTTGCATTATAATCTCTCGCATTCTGCACCATGATATATCATTTAGTCATCTTCTGAGTGTGTGACTCTCAGGAGACTTAAAAAAAAATTGTTTCAATGGCTCCATTCACTCCCACCTATCAGTCCCACTGTCGGTGGACTGTTCTTGATTGTTGTTGCCCGTAAGATACAGCTTTTGCCATTTCCAAAGCACTTTGTATTTACATCGGTATACAGTATGTGAAGCTAGTGGCACCTAATGTAGTCTCCCTGGGTATTTAGAAACTTCTCAGTAGGCAGAAGAAAAATAAAGGCAGGGAGAGTGTTGTATTTGGAATATCTAGGTTTTCTCCTGAAATGTGTAAGAAAATGATTTTTCTTAGTTTGGTGTGATTTATGTGGCCATTTAAAACTTAGGAAGAGGAAATCATATAAAGAAGAATGGGAGAGTTTTTACTTGTCTAGAAATTTTTGAGGAATGGGAGGCCTTAAGAGCAGGACATTTAAAATAAGATTGCAAAGGGTTTAATGGATGGCCTTGTTTAATTGTAAATAGAACTGTTCAGGTGTAATTGGTGACTTGAGCTTAGGCACAAATGTAGATGTAAAAGGTGTTGAGAATTATCTCCCTTCTCATTTCCCAGCTGTTCTTTTCTGTTCCAGTGTTTCCGCAGTGAGGAAGAAAACTGGATTACTTTGAGAAGCAGTTGTTAGGAAGGCCTGAAGCAGGTGGCAATTTGGGAAATGCTGCTTTTGGTATTCTAAATGTTGATACCTATATTGCAGAGATAGAGGTGCAGGAAAATTAATTCAATCTATGTACTTAAACAGAAATAGTTACCTAGAACCACTTAAAAGTAGTCTCAAAAGGGTTAAGAAAACAGCATTGCTCCACTGAACTTAAAGCCTGATTTTATGTATATAAGCGTGTAGACTGTTGATTAAACCCTTTTAAACTTCGTGACTTAATGTTGAGGAGAGACTTAAATGTCTCTTAATTTTTGAATTGACATGTTAGGACTCCTCCAACCATCAAAAATATAAAGGCTACTTGTTTTTTTGTAGTGGAATGAAGTTTGAGAGTAAGACTGTTGAAGGGACGTACTGCATTATTGTAACTAGAAAGGCAAAAGTGAGCTTTATGCTGTGTGAAAAAGAAATATGCATATGGTCTCCTGAAATACTTCTGCATCTGAACTATGCTGTGGTCCAGGCTGTGGACAACTTGCCTTCTCCCCTCTCCTTTCCCCTTCCACCTCCTTAGAATGCAGATGGTTGATTTCTTTAAAAACATACGTGGTGAACAGTCTGTCTTTTTTCCTTTAGGGACCAGTTACTCTCCACAAGAAAATTCACATAACCACAGTGCTCTTCATAGTTCAAATTCACATTCTTCTAATCCCAGCAATAATCCAAGCAAAACTTCTGATGCAGTGAGTATTTGTGATTGGTATTCATCCCTCTGTCACCCCATTCATGCACACTATATTTTCATCATTTTGTCTAAAACAGGCGGCATGTACATTACTTGCCTCACTGAGTTTTCCAGCATCAGTCTTTATTTTATAAACACTCTGTAAACCCGAGCTGCAGTTGTTACATGTTGTAAAACTATTCTAATTATAATCATTAGAGCTCTGAGGCACCTGTTTTGAATTTCAAAATGCTAGATTATTTAAATGAAGTAGTTACAGAGGGAAGTATTCTCCATGAACTTTGTTGGTAAATCTAGAGAAGACAGTATGATTTTATTTATTTAAGATGCATTGCACATTGTGAATTTTAGTTGCTTTTATTATCTAAGTCTTAGTAGTTAGAGTGGTATTTGTTAAAATTTGCACTGAAAAGAGAATAGATAAATTTGTGAAGTACTTAAAATTTTTGAAAATATAATTAATGATTTTTGAGGAAGTTTTAAGGTGCCGAAAACTAATGTTATCAATGTTGATATTACTGTATCCCGCCAAACATACTATTAGATTTTTTTTCAGGGTTGATGGGAATAAACCAGAGGAAACTAATGCAGAATGCAGCAGGAGCATAGTGGTCACATCTTTAAACTATCAAAATGAAACAGGCATTTAGAGATGGTATAAATGGAAAGCCGTGATATGGGTGCATATGAGGATGCTGTGTGGTTTTAAAAATGGTGGAAGCTTTTAAATTTGTATATTACAGCTCTCTAGTCCTTTTTCCAACACTGTTTGTATTTTAAAGGCTTACGATTCTGCGGATGATTGGTCTGAACACATCAGCTCTTCAGGCAAAAAATACTACTACAACTGCCGAACAGAAGTTTCACAATGGGAAAAACCAAAAGAGTGGCTGGAAAGGTATATGTGTGTGTCTGTTTTCATTGTATAAAGAAGAAATATTCTTAAACCTCATTTAAGAGCAGCTGAGCTTATCTACTAGATTACTGCTATAAAAGATTGTGGTCCAAATCTCCTGTGTTCCTACCCTTACCATGACCTCTGGCACCTATTTTATCCCTTGATTATCCGGAGCAGGAGGGGGAAGTGTGGTTGGTTTGGGTTTTTGGTTTTTTTTGGTGAGGTGGGGTTTTTCGTTTTCTTTTGGGTTTTGTTTTGGTGGTTTGTTTGGGTTTTTTTTCAATGTTAATGAGCTGAACTGGTATACTGGGGGCTTTGGGAAGCACTGCTGTAAAGAAGCAGTGGCTGGAGTTTGCCTACCCTGTCTGTAGCAGCAAGCTCTTAGTTTAGGTCATCTCATGTAACTTCACCCATAGAAAGTGTTATATTATTAGATGATGTAAGTTCTTACTTAACTTGTGTTTTCTTTCCTTCAGAGAGCAGAGACAAAAAGAAGCAAGCAAAATGTCAGTTAACAGTTTTCCAAAAGATAGGGATTACAGAAGAGAGGTGATGCAGGCGACAGCTGCCAGTGGGTTTGCCAGTGGAAGTATGTGGTTTTTTTACAGTAATATATTCTTGCCTTGTTTGCATTACTGTTTTCTTTTCCAAACTTAAAAAAAAAACCTTTTAAATCCCTTTCCTTAGCTGTTTTTCTCACCTTTTTACATAAAAAGGCCAAAGCGGATAACACAGACAGCTCCCCCAAATGTTGTTTCTTAAAATAGCTTCAAGCCTTTACTAGTACAATGCTTGCTTAATGCTTTTCATGGTACTCCTCCTTTTTGCAGCTTTTACTGCCTAATTTAATTATCTTTAGAGGTAGTTATTGAAACAACTTGCACAGTTTATGGTGTAGTTGGACTGTTGTGATCATTGAGACATGCCAATGTCATATTCTGAGCTTAAAAACAGAGGAGCAGGGGTCTCTTCTAAAACCTTAATTTCACATCTGAAAATAATAAGCTAATTTAATGGATTATGATATCAGAGTTTTTGGAGACTTGTGTACATTATTGAAAGCATATTTTTACCGTTCCAGTACTGGTAGCAAAGCCTTTCCCAGACTATGAATTTCTGTTACTTGGAATTTTTTTTCCTGATACCTAGCTTTAATCTTTGTCAGTCTTTTCTGGGAAATGGTTGAACTGTGAGATTCTTCCTGCAAGCTGATGTAGTTTGGGTGAATTTGTAGTATAGTTCTCAGGGTGGTTTGAAAGCAGATGCCACAGTATTGATCTCCACCCCCACCCCTTGCCTGGGACTTGACAACACAGAGTTCTGTGAAGGGCTGTTTTTCTTTGTATGCTGAAACATACTGCATATGCTAAAACATACTGTATGCTACAAAAAGATAGCAGAAATGCATATTGCAGTAACTGTTTTGTGACAGGTGAAAATCTAGGAATCAATAAAAAGAATTACTCTATATTTGCTTGGTATGTGCCTGTGTAGCGTATTTTAAAGTCTCTGATCGTGTGACAAATGCAGATTAGTCACTCATTTAATATATAGTCTTCCTGAATTAATTCAACTGAAAGTAAATTCTTTGTAGTAGTACTCAAGTGACTTGAAGTGGAATTCTTTGAAGGCTAGAATTTGAAACTATTAAATTATACTCGATGTTCAGGATTTTCAATGAACAAAAGAAAAATGGCACGAATTATCTGTTCACACTAAATATAAGATGGAAATAATAGATTTTGATTCAGATTTTTTTAGGAGACTTCAAAAGTTAACTTGTCTGTAACACTCGTTATAAAGCAGCCTTTCATCAAAACACAGTGCTTAACCGGAACTCTAAATCAAGCAAAGGTCAGAGAAAATGCATTTTGTCAGTGAGTAAAATTAAATTTTGCCTTTTTTGATGCTGATCTACTTGAGGCTTTTTTTAATCATAAGAAGTTCAATCAGCTCTAGTTGTTGATGTGCAGCTGTATTAATCAAAGTCACTGCAATCTTAGACAAGTTTCTAATTTAATCTTTTTTTTCTTATTGCAACATTACTTGGGGAATCCTGAAAAAAGTGGAAGACAAGCATTCCAGTGACGCCAGTAGTATGCTCCCACAGAATATTTTATCTCAAACAAGCAGGCACAATGACAGAGACTACAGACTGCCAAGAGCAGAGACTCACAGTAGTTCTACTCCAGTACAGCATCCCATCAAACCAGTGGTTCATCCAACTGCTACCCCAAGCACTGTTCCTCCTAGTCCATTTTCTCTACAATCTGATCACCAGCCAAAGAAATCCTTTGATGCTAATGGAGCATCTACTTTATCAAAACTGCCTACATCCACATCTTCCATCCCTGCACAGAAAACAGAGAGAAAAGGTATGTCTGATGAAATTCCTTCTAGTATTTAAGAGGATGCATTGCATTTGCATTGTTTGTTCAAAATATGTTAGTTCTAGAATTTAAAGATATTTTTCCTGTTGATTGTGTGTGCTTAGAAACCGATTACTGTTTTGATGTGTTTATCTCCCCTTAAACCACGCTTGCTATATCTTACACAACTTCAAATTGACACTGCAATATTTGCTGTTTATTGGCTTATTCTGTAAATTATAATTTCAAATGATAATTTAAAAGATGTATTTTTAGTACGCCGTATTTTAATTTTTGTCCTTCCTCATGTTGGTTTGGATCTTTGCCATTATTTGGGTTCTTAACATAGATGTAGTTACAGCATTTGAAAGTCATTTTGGACCATTATGTTTTATGAACTGCTGTTACTGTTTGGAATGCCAGTGTCAAACTTTCCAATAAATACAAGCGCAATTCTTGCAGAAAGCATCAGTTTTCTATATGTCTGTAACAGCTACTCTTCTGTTCTGATCTGTGTCTTGACATATACTGGATCTTCAGCTCTAAAGCTGCTGAAAGTTTGTATTTCCGTATAATACATACGAGAAACATTTAGAGTCATCAAGCAAAGATCAGGACTTTACTGTGCATAGTTCATGACTCTTCAGAAGTTTATATTTTAATTGGATTTACTTCATTATTAGGGAAGAAAAGCTCAAGAAGATTGTGAGAATGGAGATGTGTGTTATTAGTGATAGTGTGATACTTTGGTATAGTCAAGTTCTTAGAGAGTAACGTTGTATAAGAAAATTCTATTTTGAGGGCTTTGGGAGGGGAAAAAGTAATTTATTTTTTTATAAACGTGTCTTTTTATTTTACAATACTGCTTAATTAGTATGACACTGAATTCTTTTTTGAAAGGTGACTTGTTGCCCTGTTGATATTTGCAAGAATGGAGATGTGTGTTATTAGTGATAGTGTGATATTTGGTATAGTCAAGTTCTTAGAGAGTAAAGTTGTATAAGAAAATTCTATTTTGAGGGCTTTTGGGGGGGAAAAAAGTAATTTATTTTTTATAAACGTGTCTTTTTATTTTACAATACTGCTTAATTAGTATGACACTGAATTCTTTTTTGAAAGGTGACTTGTTGCCCTGTTGATATTTGCAAGCCTGTCTAGTTACAGAAGAATAATGCAGTGCTAAAAAGAAGACCAAAAAGGCTCGGGTCTGACATTGGTCTTACACCCTGCATTTACTTTCCTGCCTTCCAGTCTTCTTTATTAAAGAATTCCAGCTTTTACACAGAGATAAGTGCACTTGGCCATCCAAAATATCCAAGCAATACCATACATTGGCAAATACTGCAGTGTAAGAAGGTTGTGCATGCAAAGAAATTTTGTATGTTTTTCTTGAGACTTTGTGCAATTTTTTATGACCTGGTACATGAATGTTGACTATAAACTACAGAGGAACTGAAGATTTTTAGCAAGCCTTTTTTTATTCAACACAGTAAAGGAAGAAGTAAGGTGTACTGGTTTGTGCATGGTTCTTGTACTGAAAACATAATTACCTGCTTCGGTTCAGCCTCTGTTTTCATTGCCATTTGATACTTTTAAACATGACAGTGCAAAACATCCATATTAAATGTTCTCTCCTTTTAGCATATCCTCTCTATTTTCATTACTATCTTTAAAATACACTTAAAGAAAACCCTTTTTATTACTCAGTTCTGGCATGTGCTTGATTCCTGTTTGGTGTGTGATCAGACTTCAAACTGGACATATTCTTTCCCTGCTTTACTGTGTACCTTTATTAGTTGCTTCCACTTAAATTGAGCAACTGAATCTTAGTGCAATAGAAGGAATTTCCCATTGTGACAACTGCTACAAATGTTGGCAGGGAGTTCTGGTATTTCTTACATACGACATTCATTTGAGAACATACAGTTGGGTATGAATAGTGAAATGGATCACACAGGGCGGTCTTGACACTATAAATCTTACTTTAGAATCCATGTTACCATGGATGGTTCCATATTAAATAATCACTTAATTTCTGTATTCCTGTGTATTTTTTTAAAGTTTATATGGGTTAAATGGATAGATTCTCTGTAAGACTCCTGCCTTGCTGATTTAAGTGTTTCATGGCACTTCGTTGTGAGCAAATAGAAGACTTCCTGAGCTTCAGACAGGGTGGATTACAGAAAGTTATTAAGTGATTGAAGAATTAGAATAGATGAATGTTAGGCTTTTCACATGTTGCTTGAATACCTCTCTTCTTACAGACGCAGAAAAATTCAGTGCAGCTTATGTTATGATAAAGAGATAATTCAGAGAGGACATTCAGTAGTCTTGCCTTTTTCTTTTGTTATGACTCTTCTTCCTGCCTTCATTTTTATTTTTTTTAAAGCCTTTCGAAGGCAGCCAGAGCAAGAGTCTGACAACAACCCACCTATTGACAGAACAGGGAAGACATGATGGGGGTGTGTTACTTACTACAAGCTGCAGCCTTCCTTTCCCCCGATCCTTGTTTTGCATCACTTGTTAGCTGTGCCCTTGTGCCGGCAAGAAAATTCCCCAGGTTCTTTGTAGCGGGAACGCTTTATTTATTTTTTTTTGAAAGGCCAGTTCCATCTCTTCTTCTAGAGGCAGATTGTCAACTGCAGAGTGGGTGAGCGTATCTTTGTCGTCTATGTTTTGCCCGTTTAAAGAGCAGTTGCTTTGCTTTTCCACCGTTGGCGATATCAGAGTTTATTAAAACACACGTAAAAATATAGTTTTCGTGTGTCTTTCCGGCTTGGCGTTGGTGTCTTCCGTTGGGTGCCGTGAAGTGGAGCTAGTTGCTCACGGCTGAGCTAGAGTCATTCCTGGGCTGCAGAGTTCCAGCTCCAGCAGGCTGCGGTGCGGGGAGGAAGGGGGTCGTGTTTGCGTGCGCGGAGCCGATCGTGGAAGCGCTTGTCACCTCACCGGTACAGCGCGTTGGCCTTTAACTGGGACTGCCCGCCAGCATCCCTTTGTATTTAATACCGGTGTCTTAAAGGCTGTGCTGTAGGATCCTTGTACATTTTTCTGTTTGCAGTAGACCAGGTTCAATGGAATTTACCGGGTCTACTTGAAAGAAGTTAATATCTCACCAGCGCCAGTTCAGTGGCAGAAATGACTGAAATCTGGCTAACCAACCTGACCACAGAGTTAACAACTCGGGAGGTTTTTATGTGGGGGGAGGCGAGTTGCTTTGTTTCTTTTCTTGTTTCTTTTTTCCCTAAGATGATGTTGGACTTTTTTTTTTTTTTTTTTTTTTTTTTTTAATTCCAGTTGTCTTAAAGTATATTTTTGCATTTCAAAAAACCTCTAGAACGTCTCTGAAAGGCCTCTGTGAGTTTGGCCTTTAGGGTACCTTTGCTTTCAAATGAAATAGTTTGATTGCGTTCTTGGTGCTAGCAGCTGATGAAGACGGTGTCTCTTGGATCTTAAAAATTTTACTTCTGACATCACTTTTCCATTTAGCTACTGAAAACTTACGTCTAGGAACATGACATACAGCGGAGAGTAAGGATAAAAGCTCTTTGTGGCTAGGTGTCTGTAGGTTGAGATTCACCTGACCACTCGTGAGCAGGGAAGGGCTAGACCCAGGGTGCTGTTCCTCGCTCTGAATTTGCAACGTGTGCTAGCGTTCTCGGGTGTGCTCGGAGAGCGGATACTCTCAAGTATTCAGATTTAGGTGGCTTGCTGAGTTGGTTTCTTTCCTTTGGTGACGCTCAAGAAACAAAGCATTTTCGCGTTGAAGGGCCTATTTCTTCTGACCGGTGACTTATTCTGCACGCATCACAGTCATAGTGAAGATCCCACCGCCGCTGCCGGTCACCAGAAGCGCTGGGACCAGCTCTTCTCTCCTGCGGTACGAGTTCTCTGCGGGGTGGGAGCTGGGGATGTGAAAAGAGCTCCAGCCCATCTAGGAAGTCGGCGTGGGTGCTGCCTGTGGTCTCTTTAGAGGAGAGGGCGACTGCGTGTTGGTGCTGCAGCGGTGAAGTTCTGGCGCCTGTATGGCACCTGCTTTGGGTGGAGATGTTCTTCTAGAAGGGGGCTTCCAGAAGACCCCTACTTACTAGGGCTCGCCCTGTCCTTCGAGTAACTGCCTGGTGCCTGCACCCTTCCCTTCTGCAAGGCTGAGGGTGCCAGCCTGAACCACCCCAGTTACAATCTGCAGCTGAGTTGGCGATCTGCGTTCGGGAATAAGCTCGGAGTTGTCGCTTTGAGTTCAGGAGTCCGTGGCGATCAGGGGAAGAAGCCGTGTTATCTTTTTATGTATGACTTCTGCTCCGTGTGCTTATTTTTTTGACCTCTTGGTGGCATGCTGCCTTCCAGCGTTCACTTGTGTTAAGTACCTGTTGAAATTGTGCGCTACCATCAAAATTTGATGTAACAAAAAAGTCCGGAGCCAGGATTATGCTCGATCTTTCCCTTGTCTCCTTGCCCGTTTTGTGGAACGTAGCAGATTTTATTTCTCATCGAAAAGGTGCCTGAATTCTGGGATGCGCTGCGTACTCCCCGGGTTTCTGGTGACTTTGTACGAATCCTTGACTTCTGCCGCAGCTTGGTGTTTCACTGAGTTGTCTTGAAACCTGCTCGCTTTAAGGGAGCAATGTTACGATACTTGATTTTGGCACCACAAGAGTGGCGGGGGGGGACTTTTTGCACAGTAAAGCTATAACTGGTTGAAGATGGTGGCATTCGTACTGGATTTCTGCTTGAGGCGGATGACGCTTTTAGTAACAGGGGAAATTTGGCTGCGTTTTCTTGATTTGTTGTGTCGATATTTGGTATAAGAGAAGCTTGCGTATAATTGCTAAATACCTGCTACGCCTGTCACTTCGGAGCTCCCTCCTTGCCTCTGAAGTTTAATCGAAGCTTTGGGGTGTGAGAGTTGAGAGCATGTTGGATGCACGTTGGCGGTTTACTCCGTAAATCCGCGTCAGCTTGGAAGTGGCAGAAACCTGAGGTTTGAAATGGAACGTAGCAGTGACGAG